ACGCTCTGGTGCAACAACTCACAATTACAGAATTCACCCAGGACTCCGTCTGGCACTAAAATCAGGAGGCACATTCAGCATGGGCTTTGGAAGCTTTCCTTGAGTCCTGCCAATTTCTCCTAGTGGATAGGACTCCCGAGCCGGCGCGGGGTTAAATGGGGTTGCTGGAGGAACTCAGGATCAGAAAGAGAAAGGGAACAGCAGAGCGCAGGAGCCACAGCAGGAGGGGCCGGGGCAGACCGGGGCTGCTCCTTGGGCGGAGTGGCAGAGCGTGCGGAGGCCTCTAATCTCACTGAATCTCCCAGTGTGCTGGACATCTGGGTTATTCACACTAAAGGTGCCACTTTTTCTTCAGTTGCATCAACCAACTCCTTGCGATGACGCCCAGCTCCTCTTTGCCCACGAGGAAGGAGGCGGAGCACCTACTGATTTCTCTACCTAGGCCCACTCCACGTATAACCGCATAGTGTTTCATAGAGGCCTGCCTCGCAAGGCTCAGAACCAGACATCCGATTGATCTGGGGGTTTGTCTGTTTATTTTGGTGGGAGTGAGTACTTAGTGGTCATATACGAAATATAAAAGAAGTACCAAGCATAGGGTGTGGGTATCTAGGAACTCAAACGTTTAACAGAAAAAAAAAAAATCCTTACAAAGAAGAAGTAGAGGGAGAACACAAGACAAAGCTTAAACTACTGATACAAAATATAATGCTTTAGCTGCTCATTAAATCTATTTTGTTCTGTTTTGCTTTTTTAAAGATATGAGATCTTGCTATGTTTCCCATCCTCCTGCCTCCGCCTCCTGAATGGCTAGAACTACAGGTGTGCACAACACCTGGCAAATAACTCTGTTTTTGTATCATCTTAATTAAGGAGGATCGTACTCAGTTATTCTCCCGGATTGATTTGAGACTCAATAGAAGTTATACTTAGGGCAAATTCAAGGCATGAAAATAGAGATTAGCATGGAATGAAAACTAACTTGGGTCACATAATCATCCTTTGCCATAAACAGTACATGGCCCCTTAGTTAACCTACAATATTTGTTGTGCTATATTGCAGGCACGTTCTTTTCAAAGAGACACAACTATCCGATTTTGACTCAAGAGCCCTACTCACAGCAGAGCTGGGACATTCTGCCCTGAGGTGGCCTGAAATTACTGACTCACAAAAGCCGTCATGCTATGGCTTACAGAAAAATAACCGAATTCGATAACAAGAATGAGACATACATGTGGGCAGTGATCGGGCTGGGGTGCCGCTCAGTGAAAAAACACTTGTCCACCATGTGCCAAGGCTTGGGTTCCATCTCCAGTGCCACACACACGCATGTGCGCATAATTGTAATAAAAGAGTATTTCGGGAAAATGTTTAATTTTTTAAAAGCTTGATGTTTTTTAAAAAAAGTTGTGACCAATATATTCATACTTCACACTTCCAGGAAAATTCAAAGGTTGTGGGCCAACCATTTCAATCATTCAGTGGCTGCATTTTAGTGCTTTAGCATTTATAAAACATGAACTGCCATAGTTAACACAATCTGCTCTTATATGCGATCTATGAGAAAAGTAAATATAAATATAGGTAAAAACATGAAACAGAGCAGAAGAGGCTGTGCTGAGAAATTCCAGTAGAAGGAGCTGTAGAAATGAAGAATTTCGCATTTGGCAAAACCAAGAGAGGAATGTTGAAAAATGAGGTTTCTGCTTCAATCTGACAAATCTGAATAGAAATAATATATTTACTTATTTACTTAGCAGACATCTAACCTTTTAGGGACGTCCTTTTCTTGATGTGTAAAACAAGATACTTAAAACAAAATTTCTTCAAGGTCCCCCCAAATCTATTTTTCTACAATGTATTCGACTTGGAGGTATCGTAAGGAATCTAAAACAGAATGAAACTTGTTCCTACATCTAGGAGGATCTCTGGGATATTCTTTGGGAGCAACCAGATATGCATATAAATACCTAAATTTCCAGCTGGACCTGAAAAGTGCACACAGTACTTTGAGAGCAATACAAAGCTGTATACAAGAGGAATAAAAACGGCTTTGAGAGATATCTAACATAAAGATAAGGAGGTGGAAAAATGGCCCTTTGAGTATTCTAATAAGCCCACGGGTATTTTGGGGAAATGTATGCAGCAAACTCAGAAAATTAAAAATGAACAGGATTGCTTTGGAATAGAAATATACCTTGCATGCTTAAAATTCAGGAAATGGCAGCCATGTGGAGAGACAAGATATGGATTAGGCGAGGTTGCTGTGTTTAAGGTCGTGGGTCACCAGTAAGGCACTGCTACTACTGCAAGCACAGCACCGAGTGCACACCGGGTGGTACAGAAATGAGCGTAACGTGGAGAACCGGGCAGCCAAGCAACTTCACCCTTGCGCAAGTGCCCTAGGCCTCCCGGAAGCTGCACCCGGAGCCAACTTTACCTTGCGGGGCGCTGGCAGGCAGCGCATCAGCGAAGGACTCACTCTCTGAGTCCCGAGGAGGGTCTCCCACAGTCTCTCCCATGGCAATATGGGGTAGAGACACTGCGAAATTCACACTGATGCTGTGTCTCTTTCTTGCAAGAGATCAAGCCATCAAGGGTCCTAGAACGTGTGAGTACAGCAGGCAGTGAAGACATCAATTTCCAAAGATTGGGGAAGAGACGGGAATAAGTATAGCAAGGACTGGGCTCAAGTTGGCCGGCGCTGCCCTGTGATGAAATGCGTCCTAACGCGGACACGTTTGCTGCTTTGGCAAGACCTGGTACATTACAAGGAAAACATTGCCACACCGTCGCGCCAGTGACCCACACGGTGGGTGTCTTGAGGGGTGTGAACAGTGCAGAACCGGGGAGTCTCAGAGCAGAGGCCACTCCGGAGCCGATTTCCTTTGTTACCACGGTAAACACATACCTGCTCCTTCTCAAAGAGAAAAACCTCAAATCTCTGGATTATAAAATACCAGATCAACCTACTCGGGAAGTTTTTCTTAGATGTCTATTCCTGGTTGAGTCTCTAATCACGCTATCTGAAAAAAAAAATTTGGAGTTCACATATGCAGTTTAATGTTTTTGCTACCAACATGCACTAAAATGTTCTACCTCTACGGTGTTTATTTGACTATCTTAGAAAGCCCCAAATGATACTGACCGCTCTCCAAACTCTATAAAACTGAACAGCTGAGAGGATGAAGTTCTGATTCGTTTTCAGTTTTATAGATCCGGGTTTGCTGTTTTTAAACTTCAGTTTATTCATTAACAGCAACTGCAGCAATGTCCCAACAGTTGACATTTCAACGCTAAAAGCTATGCCATCCTGAGAAAATGGAGTTCTCTCCAAGAAGAATAATGCAGTACCAGAAAATAAAAGTGGGGAGACAAAAATGACTTATCCTATTAGGTTGGTGAGGAATTGTGGTCCGTTTTGCAATCAGGAAAAAGCTGGCTCCTTGCTCACGGCCCTTTGCCTTTTTGGCCAAGAGAAACATGCGCGGTGCCCAATTGCTAATGTGGGAGCAGGTCTTGTCACAAAGTGGCCTATGAGAATTGCAGGGACGTGTGGATTTTAAAAGATGCCCCCCCACGGCAGCATACATCAGATGGCAGGAAGCCTCTGAAGGTCACTCGGCCCGATATTCCCCGAGTGGAATAACCGCGTATCTGCTTAATCTGTGTTGAGTAATACTCATTCTTCAAGGGGGCTAGTACAGGTCCTCCTGTCAACCATGGAGCAATAGCCCCATGGGAAAATGCTTCCTGAGTCTGAACAGTACGGAATCAAGTAGAGGGTTGGGCAATGACTTTTTCGTTTTAAGTCCCAAAACACCTTCACCAAGGCGATTCAGGTAGGGAAGTTTGTGGAAGGTCCAAACGTTGGAGATGATGATTGCTGTGTAGAATATTTTATCTACAGCTGAGTTGTCAATAAAGTTCCTCCTTCCCTCTTAATGCCTAGAAATTTACCTATATTAAAAGTAGTCTAGATACAAGTAAGACAGGGTGACAGGGTGAGGGGCTACTCATCATAGGGTGACACCTTCATCCCTGAACACAGAACCAATCAGAAAAGTGCTCTCTTCAATCCTGCATTTGCACGTGGGCACAACCCATCAAGAGACACTGTTCCTGACCCTGCATTTACATATGGCAGAGGCATATTGACAGTACAATTTCCAAATGACTGACACCAAGTGAGTGTTTGATAGGGCGACTGTCCCAATGCCTTACTTATTTTCATGAGAAGAAGATAACTCTGGAATTTTGGGCACAAAAGGCCCTTTTCTTTATTCTTAAGGCTATTCTCACTCTGCAGAGTACATTTCTCTTCCACCTTCAACAAATGTACACTTCTGATACCTGTTCTTAGTGTTCTTGTCCAGTTCTTTGTTAGGGACAACAAAAAGCTGCTAAAAAGCCCCACAGCCCTTTAAGGATTTAAGGACGTGAGAGAATCCAAGGATCTTAGTGGAACTTATGATAGGCCCAAATCAAACCCAGCCAGATGTGGAGGTACACACCTACAATCAATCCCAGCTACTCAGGAGGCCAAGGTAGGAGGGTCAAGAGTTCAAGGCCAGCCTAGTCAACTTGGCAAGACCTTGTCTTACAGCACAATGAGAAGAGCTGGGATATAGCTCAGTGTGAAAGCACTCGCCCAGCATGCACATGGGCCTGGATTCAACCCCTAGTACAGAAAAACAACAAAAAAATCAAAGTCAAGAACACTTTTCTTCTTTTTATTAGATCAGAATGAAAGCTGAGGTTCCATCCTGCCTATAGGTACTCCTACGCAAACTCTGAGCTGAGTTGGAGTCTAAAAAGCAAACTTCCTATGAAGTGATGGTATCTGACTCTTCCCTCATTCCCCTACCCCAGGAATCTCTTCAGCTCTTTACAGATGGTTAGGGCCTGGGTAAGTGCTTAGCATTCCTTGCTGGCATCATAAGTGTGGAAGAATTTACCAAAACATTTTAAAACTGCGCCGGGTGCTGAGGATCAGAGCATGGGCAGAACAGTTCCACTGGAGCCCGTGTTCAGAGGACAAAGAGCAGCCCCAAAGCCAAGAACCTTCTCCAGATTCAACAGCGGGGGCCCAAAGTCCCTGCCGTCAGACCCACAGAGGTATCAGCAACACCTCTGCAACTCAGCCGGCCCTCTAGGGTCAGGTGAGTCGGACGAAAGGGGACAGTGGTGGTGGGGCCCCTGCGCTTCTCCCCAACCCGAGGCCCCACACTCAGGACGCAGCACATGTGTGTCCAGGAATCTGCCCCACCTGGGGTCCAAAGCCAGGGGCTCTCAAGCTCTGCCCTGCCGCTTTCTATCTGGGACATGCGGGTCCTTCTTCGAGGCCAGCCTTGCAGGCACGAATTCAGGACATTCAGCCTCTCTCTTCCCCTCCAGGACACATCCAGCCTGTGTGTGCCCTGGGCAGGAGGCTGGTAAACCTTGATACTGTGGTTCTTTTGTGTGTCAGCTACTCAAACAAAAAATGATTTTTTAACAGTGAATTCTTCCCTAACACCTGAATCCAGGAGCTCCTATACCTACGGCTCTCACGTGTCCTATCTTCCCTTCTTCTCTTAAGCAACCCTTTTTTATACTTGAGAGCAAAAATCTCTCTTATGCACTGTGTTTCCTGTCCGCTCAACAGGGATATATAATAGATGGGAAACACTGAGCTTGGTGCTAGGGACACGATTGTGAGCAACAAAGCTGAGTCAGGAGAAATGCAACTCACCTGGCAACAGTGAGAATCTTGTCTCAAAAAAAAAAAAAAAAAAAAA